CCCGCTCGGGGGGGCGTGTCTGAGCAGACGTCTAAAGACGCCCGCTCAGATCTAGAGAGAGAGGTAGCCTCTAGAGAGGTAGTTAAACAATAACAACTGGGCGGAGCTGGCCAATAGGAAACAGTTGGGTGGAACTATGTGTCACTGCTAGCTCCGCCCAATTGTTTTTTTTTTCTTTAAAAAAAATCTTCATTTCTTTTTTTAAAATTAATATTTATTTACATTTTTAAAAAGATTTTTAAGCTTTTTTTTTGTTACTATTTTCATTGATTTGCTATTCTGCTTGGTACCATGGAGGTACCGAGCAGAATAGCCGAGCGGCATTCGGCTATTCACTCACTGCCGTTCGGCCCCTATGTGAATAGGCAGCGAGTGAGCTGCCGGAGCTTCGGCTGAGTCGATCCAGATGTTGGATCGGTTGAGTGGACGTTCTTCTGAACTTCGGACCTAAGTGCAGCCAAAGGAAGCCAATGTACGGCTGATTTCATCGGTACTGAGCCATAGTGAATAGCCAAACGTTATTCGGCTCACTTCACTACGGCTCGGTTATTCACTTGCCTTCCGCAGCTTTGTGAATAACCCTTTTTGTTTTGGTTTTTGCATATCATATGTTGCCCAGACCTGTGGGTTTGTGGTAGCACACAATTGAGCAAATGTAAGTGATCTAACTGCCTTTTGAATTGACACCAGCACATTTGGTTAGCAAGTATAAAGCCTTAGGCTAACGATACATGTACTCCATGGAACTGAATGAGTGAAATCACTTGATTTCCCCAACCACGCTAAACAGTTTGGATGGAGGAATTTGCATTGCCGCCTACTGTATTCAAACAGCTGGCACGAACAGTGATTGCCTCTAGTAGCGTGTAAGTATATGACCTACTATATTTATAGGAAATATTTTTTTTTTGTTACAGCAACATCCTGCAACTATCCAATACCTTTGACATTCCAGAAGGAAATGTAACTGTAGAAAACTATGATAATGCCCTCACCCAATTAAATAATACATATCCAGATGTGATTGCATCTCTTAATCTTCCAACATGTGATTTAAACAGAATTTTGTCCGAGGTAAGTTTACTTCTTCTAGTAACTGAAATATATATTGCAAAGTGAAATGAAACAGGAGAATAGACCATTAAATAAGAAAGTCACTTTGTTGGGACTTTGAAGCTGCTAAAAAAAAGAAGAAAAGGTGAATTATTAAAAAAATTGGTGCATCCAAAAGCAGACACAAAATGGCACCTAAGAACAATGATGAAATAAGAAATGTATTTATAAATATAGAATTTTTATTTCAGTTCTGTTTCTTAACTATTGATACCTAAGAATCAATTAAAAGGTTGAGTTAAGCTCATTAAAGAGGAGGTGTGTATCCAGAAGAAGCTCATCCATCTTCCTCAATTATGACAAATTAAAGAAAATAATGGTGAAAGCTGCTACAAAGTTGGTGCACAGTGTAGCTTGATAATGCTAAGGATAGCTTCTGCAAATGTTGCATTTATATCAAGCATTCAAAAGCATAGCATTTTAATCTCAATAATTTCGATATCATGCTAAAACACTGAATAATGCTATCCCCCTACAAGTCTGAGGCTGCAGTTTCCTAGGCCTGCACCCTCGCATTAGTATCCTTAATTATCTTCATCACCATTGCCATAGAGAACATGTTTACTAGTCGAGGGATCATCAGCCCCATCCTCAAGGTATACTGCATCTCAGAGATATTACCTCCTCTTCTCCTTCAGAAAAGATAATCAGCTTCAGCGTTTGGTGCATACTGGATATTTAAGACTCCTGACAGTATCTTTTGTTGCTGTGGGTCTCCACAGATTATATTTTTACACTTGATTTCCTATATCTGCACACTTGTTGCAGCCATTACAAGGGGGATACCACTATCTCTGATGATGTTAGTTTGTCATTCCAGCTCTGGAACAGAAGGGAAGTGAGGAGATAGACAGGGGTTGAATCAGGAGAGTCCAAGAACCAATAAGCAGTACAGCGTTGAATTCCAAAGACGTAGACAGACGGGCCGAGGTAAGGACAGGCAGCACAGTTTCAGAAGCCCAAAGTTCAAGCCAAGGGTCAAGAATCACAGGCGGTGTTTGGATAAAATAAAGAAAATTAAAAAATGGCACTGGCTGTCAGGATTGTGGATGGTGTATATGTGTCAATAATGTGTCTTACCTACACATTGTTAGGGGCTCCAGGGATTGTGACAAATATGGAGAAAGTAAGCTTTTTGTTTACTCAGTAACCTAATAACTTGTTCTGGGCCCTGGAACCCAGAGGCTTTGTAGAGCTTTGGGTGGAAAAGCCTCCATTCCTAGGTCCACATTTTACCTGGTAGCAGGACTCTTTATTAGTTTTTGTGGACAGGTCTTTATACATCTGAGCTAACTGATTATCAAGGTTCTCTCTCCCTTTCTCTGCCATGAGCTCCTGCTGCTGGTTGAAAAGGCTGACTGCTGACAGAATATTAACCACTTGAAATCCGCGGTGTTAAACCCCTTTCCTCTCCAGGCTATTTTTCAGTATTCAGCGCTGCGGTACTTTGACTGACATTTATTCAGTCATGCAATGCTGTAATGAAATTAATTTTATACCATTTTTTGGGGACAGATAGAGCTTTCTTTTGGTGGTACTTAATCACAGCTGGGGTTTTTCTTTTTTTATAGTAAGGAAAAATTACCAAACATTTTAAAAAAAAACTGTTTCCCCTATATTAAATTATGAAACATTTATTATTACCCAATTTTTTTGGTAAAATATAAAGATGGGGTCACGTCGGGTAAAAAGACAACCAAACATGTCAAGTCTTAAAACTGTGCGCGCCCGCGAAAAATCAAAAAACTACAGTACCCAAAATTGGCCATAGGCGACGCTTTAAAAGCTTTTACCGCTCATCAATTTAGTGTTATCAGTGATTGATGGCCTTACAATTATTGCTCTTACGCAGACGTTCGCGGCAATATGTAACATGTGTAGCGCAATTGTCGTCTTCATGCTGGCGCATCTGACGCATATTTAAGTTTATATGTGCGGAAATGTGGGGGTGGGGGACTTAAAAATGTTTTTGTTTTTGTTTTACTTTTTTCATATGTGACTTTTATTATTTTTTAACTTTTTTTTACACTTAATGTTATTGCTATCACATAGGGCAGGGGTGCTAGATCTACTTTTAAAATGACGAGCTACGTGAGATCTAAAATGAAAAAAAACCTCCCTCGCTCTCTCTCTCCTGGCTGTCTCTCCTCGCTCTCCTGACTGTCTCTCCTCGCTCTCTTCTGGCTTGTCTCTCCTGACTGTCTCTCCTCGCTCTCCTGGCTGTCTCTACTCACTCTCCTGACTGTCTCTCCTCGCTCTCTCCTGGCTGTCTCTCCCCGGTCTCTCCTGGCTGTCTCTCCTCGCACTCCTGGCTGTCTCTCCTCAATCTCCTGGCTGTCTCTCCTCGCTCTCCTGACTGTCTCTCCTCGCTCTCTCCTGGCTGTCTCTCCTGACTGTCTCTCCTCGCTCCCTCCTGGCTGTTTCTCCTTGCTCATCCTCCTGGCTGTCTTTCCTCGCTCTCTCTCTTTCTCTCTCTCCTGGCTGTCTTTCCTCACTCACTCTCTCTCTCTCTCTCTTCTGGCTGCCTTTCCTTGCTCTCTCTCTCTCCTGGCTGTCTTTCCTCGCTCTCTCTCTCTCCTGGCTGTCATTCTTCGTTTTCTCTCTTGTCTGTCTCTCTTTGCTCTCTTTCCTGGCTGTCTCTCCTCTCTCTCCTGTCTGTCTCTCCCCGCTCTCTCTCCTGGCTCACCTTGCTGTATTTTGCAAACAGTGTAGTGCAACAGGCTGTGTAAACGAATATTCTTTGATGTAATACATAGCACTTCAACCACCAGAATCAACCAGAAAGGTGTCAGGGAGCTTGGCTCGGCAGACTCAGGCTAATAGGTAATCATGTGTGCACAGCTAAATACATATACCAAAATGGAATGAAGGGGCCGCCATTCACACCCTTTGTGATCTACCAGCATCAGCTTTGAGAGCTACTGGTCGATCACGATCTACCTAATGGGCACCCCTGACATAGAGGGATAACAATCCCCCTATATAATAGCAAAGGCACACTGGCAGGTCCTCTTTATGGAGACATAAGGGGTCCCTAAGACCCCTAATGTCACCCGGGGACCCTCAAAGAAGCTGATGAAGCAGAGATCTGCTTCATCAGCTTCTTCCCTCTGGCTACAGCAGCCAGAGGACTGACAGGTGAATGCGGTAGTGATGTATTACACATTACTTCCGCATTCACGCTACGGAGGGAGATCAGCAAGGAGGAAGATGCTGATCTCCCTCCCATCTGCCTCCTGACACCCTCCCGAGTTGGTCCCGGGCCGCAGATAGGGCAGTGGATCCCGGGATTGAAGGTGAGGGTGCAGGAGGGGGGTGTCACGCTTGCTGTAGTGGCAAGTTGGGGATCACAACCTCGGAGTGTAGCAATGGTTTGGTGGTTGGAGACGGCTTCTCAGGTTCGAGTCCCAGGAGTCACTCCCAATCTTAAACGGGGAGTTTGGGACTCTAGCATCACAATTGGGGGTTGGAGACGGCTTCTCAGGTTCGAGTCCCAGGCGTCATTCCCAATCTTAAACAGGGAGTTTGGGACTCACAGCCGTAGGTAACAAAAAAAACAAGTTAGATGCAGAGCTATTGCGTCATAGCCTAATACACCACTAACTGAGAACAGATGGTACGTTTGCAGGTATACAGGTAGTAATTTGCCACTCAACCACTGATATGCCAGGGATTTCCCCTTAAGGTACAGTTCAGGTAACTCAATACAGTCTGTATCCACTCAAGAGTTAAAGAGCCAAAAGGTCTGGTTTCAGGCTTCCCCGGAGGGATACTTGAGTTTGGGAGCTTCCGGTCCAGAAACAAGGAGCAGGTTCACAGGCTGGTCAAGATAGAGTCCTTCCCAGGCAGGGCTGAAAGAATCAGAGGTTTGGAGAGGTTGGGTTCAGGCAATGAAACAGCCGGCTGTTTACAATGGACGGGTTTTTTCTGCCCGTGTGCGTGCTAGGGGCACGCACGAGCAGAAAAAAAAAAGCCGTCTATTTACGGCAACCTACCAATGGGAGTTTGCCGTCCGTCCGGGCGGACGACAAGCGGTTAAAAAGGTAAAACAGATGCCCATGTGTTTTGGGGAATCTATTAGGGTGCACCCTGTTAGTCAGAACTGATTGACTTTAGTGTCTTGAACAAACAGTTATTTTGTCTGTTTTATGCTATGGACTTGATGTACAAAGCCCCCCTGCATTGAACCTGTGTTGCTGCATTGCTGAGTAAAAATACAGGACAAAACTACTTGGACTGTTCCTGGATGCCCTGTCTCATGCTTGATTCCCCACTGCTACTACTAGTTGAGCATATCCCCTTTACAACTTGATGCTCAGATCTGGGCAGTGCCTTAAAAAGAGACAACTATTATTGAACAAAATGGAGGAGCTTAAAAAAAAGAGCTCATATTGGCAAAGAGATAACCACATAACCACCCAGAATATGGGACGGCTGACTGAAGCCCACAGGAACAGAAACATGACCCTGTTTCTAAAGCAGCAAATACAAGCCTTGTTAGAGAGGCAGTTGATGGCATAGGGGCTGACTTCTACACCTCAACAGCTAGTACAGAGCACTTAGTGGAAAGCAAGATAGTAAACAAACACAGTTCAATGCAGGAGAGCATTGTACGGCAAGTCCATAGCATAAAACAAACAAAATGTTTGCTTGCCCAAGCCAGTATCTAAACTTATGTCAGATCCTGGCTAACAGGGTGCTCCCTATTGGGTACCCCAAACAAACAGGCAGCACAAGGACCTTTTGAGTGTTCTGTCAGAAATCTGCTTTTTCTACTCAGAAGTGAGCTCTCAAAATAGATTGAGTGAGAACCCTCAGCAAAAGTAAGCCAGCCTGTGTAGAGCTGGGATAAAATACCAAAGCTCTGCAAAGCCTTGGACCCACACAAGAACCCACACAAGAACGTATTGGGATCTGATAAAGCAAAAATATTGTTTTCTTCAACAGACACAAATCCTGGACCCCCTCACCATGTGTAGCTGAGAATCCCAGGTAAAACATATACACCATCCACAAACCTACCAACAAGTGCCCCACATATCCTCTACCTCTGCTCAGACCTGTGGGAAGAAGCATTGTTATGCCAACATACAGTAGACACATGGAAGCCCACAAATCAGCTACCCCTTGCTAGGTCCCTGCAACATTTTTTGTGCATCCTCTGAAATGGCATTTCTCTAAGCCTCAGGTATCCGATTAAGTTTTAACTTTACTTTGTGTAAGGCTTAGTCCCAATGCCCTGTGTGATAGAGGGCAGTTGGATGTATCTAGGATGGCAGATATGTATCTCCCAGATTCATGCTGTATACTAAAGTTTTTCCTCTACGGAGAAGTGCTGAGAGGGCTGGGGACTTGAAGATAACAAGTCCAGCTGAGGCAAGCTAGCTTGTTAGGGCCTCTATAAGATCTCGCAGCCTGCCAAGGGAGTTGCTCTACCTGGGAGACAGATGAGGTCCCTGTCCAGGAGTCAGGAGGACTCCACCCTGGAACCCGCCTGTGTGTCAAGTTGATGATATACAACCTGTGTGGCAAGTTGCTGAATACACCTGTGTGATTAAAACCAGGCTCTGTGGCAAGTTGTTGAGGAGAACCTGCGTGGCTGAATGAAGAACCTGTGTGGCTGTGAGAGATATAGTCAGGACTAGTCTGAGAGAGAAACAGATAAGACCCAGGGTCTAAGGTTAAAGGAGTAGGTATTTGCATGCACTGCATGCATGTTTTGGGGGAAAACCTCTTCAAGCAAAACCTTTGTGGACTGTTGAGTTTTGTGTCAATAAAAGTGGGCAAGAAAGCCATTAAAAGATTTAAGCAAGTGGAGGTGTCTTCATGCTCTACTTTTTGAAGTGAGTTCTCACACCTGGTAAATTATGTTAGTTTGGCCAGGTAATTCTGAAAACACCTCGCTTTTTTCTGCAAGAACTCTCTCACCTCCTGAATCTGAGAAGTAGACAGGGTCTCTGACTCTGAATCTGTAGGTAAGTAATTTTTAACAACTAATACAACTCTTTGGTTCCTTTTGACATGAAAGGGGCTCCTTGGTGTGTGAAAATTTCCCTAGAAATACCTGTATTGGAAAGCAAGTGGAACAGCTCTTTCACTATAACCCTAGAGAACATGTTTCTAAGAGGGACAGCTTCTGGATACCAGGTGGCAAAGTCAAGGACTACCAATATGTGCTGGTGCCCTCTGCTGGATATTGACCGTTATGGTGGCCTCTGGCAGGTGATGCAAGCTCACATGTGGCGCAGAGCCTAAGTGACAATTTACCAGAGCTCCTCATGGTGGAGATGGGCTGGGCTGGGATGCTCCTACCCAGTGGGTGGCAAGAACAGAAAGGCAACAGTGTTTTTCAAGGTTGCAGACAGGAGAGTAGGCAGGCTCAGGCAGAGGGCCTGGTGGGCGGCAGGCAAAAGAATAATCAGGTCGAGGCAGGGGTCGAGGTAAATGGCAGGTGAGAGAGTATTTAGGTTCAGGTAGAGGTCTTGGCATGTGGCAAGTGAGAGGATATAGAAAATATATAAATGGGGAAGAAAGGTTTATAAATGCATATTAAGTGATTAAATTAGTATTTCATGGTGAGTCCCCTATTAGTAATTTAAACAAAGAAAGACACCCAAAAAGAGCGGATCCCACCATTCATCCAAATATGCAATAGTGTCAAATAAAATGTAATTTATTAAACTAACTTTGTCTTTTTAAAATTCATAGAACGCATGTATCACAAACAAACATTTACATAGGAAAGCACTCGGCTAAGTAAAAGTGCATTTAGACAAAACAATAAAGTGATCGGTGCACCCCTGTAATGGATTTGCTTTTTGGGATATACATTTTCCAGAGAGAAAAAGTATCTTTCAGGTTAGAGAGATTTCAGTCCCGCAAATGATAATAGCAAAATCGTATTTGAAAAATAATTCACTTTTTGTTATAATGAAAGGTAAGTAGAGTGCACTCACAATAGCTTTTGTCCGCTCATCAAAAAAGTAGAGGAGGTCCACTGTCAAGTATCCACAGGTACAATGAGCAGACTTGTAACACGGCAGAACCGATATCTTTAACGCAATGCAAGGTTTTTTTGTGGATTCTGTGCAGATTTCAAACGGCAATTGCCACCACCGGACACATGCTTTCCCTTATGTGAAATCCGTGTCGATCTACTAAACCTCCTGGTTTTTTAAAATAAATATGGAGCAAGGACCAGTTCAGGCAAACTGAAGTTGCACTTTGAGAGTCCGTTTAGCGCTAAATACGTTATGTCAAGAAAGTTTCAAAAGGGATTTCTCTCTTGATGCCTTAAAGTATCATTTTTAATCACTTTTTTGGAAAGGGGTGTCCATAGCCGAGGCAGTCCAAGACAACAACCCGCTGCCGCCTTGATGCTATACACCTCCCACCAAGGCTTCGTCGGAAGGGCGTTGTTCAGGATAGTCAGAGGATAGTCAGGTAAGAGCAGGGGTTAAGGCAAGTGTCAGGTGAGAGAGTAGTCAGGCCAACCAGGCCAGCAACAGACAGGTGACTAAGAGGTAAGTATTATAGTTCTTTAGCTCTTGGGTAGCTGGCGACAGGACACAACACCAGCCTCTGGCACATGCAGACACGCAATAACAGATACATTTGGGATTCTGTAAATCCTAGAGGTGTTGGAGGTCCTTGGAATCCTGGAAATTTGAGTACCGTAATACCTTAACCCCAGCCCTAACACTTACCTTAACACCAATTTAGCTTAATCTTTTATTAACCCCTATTCTGTGGCATAAACAGGTCATCTTGCATAGGGAGCGTCTGTGCAGGTAGGAAGCAGGCCCTTGCTAAAATCATGCAGCACCAAAATGTTGACACCAGAAAAACCTGAAAAAATAGTTTTGGATACAAAAGTTATTGTGACAGTTCTACAACAAAGGTATTTATATTGCTATAATAAAACATGACTATAAACATCTTTTGTACATTTTCCCCTCCATAGGGCGTGGAAGGAACCGGACTGGCTTTTATTGTGTTCACTGAAGCTATAACAAAGATGCCAGTGTCTCCTTTATGGTCGGTTCTGTTCTTCATCATGTTGTTTTGCTTAGGCCTGTCTTCAATGTTTGGAAATATGGAAGGAGTGTTGGTACCATTGATGGATCTCAAACTTATACCAAAATCATGGCCAAAAGAGGCTGTGACAGGTGAGCGGAGATATTAGTACGCAAGAAAACAATGTGTTATAGAAATACACACTGGTCCGTACAACAATAAAATAATAATAATACTTGTATTACTTATTTATTTATTATTATAAGTATGTATATAGCACCAACAATTTACCTAGCACTTTACATACTGAATATTCACATCAGTCCCTGCCCTCAGGGAGGTTACAATCTAAGGTCCTTATTAGACATGTGCGATTCGTTTCGGAAAGATTCACTATTCGGACGAATTTTCATTATTTGGAGATTCGGATGTATTTGAATCTCTGAATGACAGAAATGACGAATTAAAATGAATCCGAATTTCGGAAATCGAAAATTTCAGACGAAATCTGTTAGTGGTAGTCTGTACGAATTTTAGTTTGTGGACGAATTTTAGTTGTAGCAAAGGGACATTAGACAAAAAAAAATACTTTTTTTTTGCAGTCTGCAGAAGTGAAAAAAGAAAAGCGTGAGGTTCTCCCCAATTGACACCAGACCCTAAAGGTCTGGTAGGAATGATAGGAGGGACCCCCCAAGTGAAAAAAAAGTGGGTGGGGTTCCCCCCAAAATCCCTACCAGGCCCTTTAGGTATGGTAGGAATTTTAGGGGGAACCCCACCCCCAAAAAGTGGGGAAAAAACCCTTGATCTGAGCACAGGCCCAGCAGGGCAGGAAAGTGGTTTCTTTATTTACATTGACGTTTAACCCTTTAGTGAATGAGTTGGGATACAAGTACCCCTTACTCATTCACAAGGGGGGTGCCCCCTTAATTAAAAGGGTACCCCAGTGCAAATAAGGCCCCCTGCCCGCAGACCCCCACAACCACCGGGTCAGGGTGGTAGGGAAGAGGCCCTTGTCCCCATTAACATGTGGAAACCCTCCCAACATTCCTACCAGACCTAAGGGGTCTGGTATCAATTGGGGGGGAACCTCACATTTTTTTTTTCTCTTCTGCAGACTATAAAAAAAATTTAAGATTTTTTTTTTTCTAATGTCACTTTGCTGCAACGAAAATTTGTCCACAAAGTAATATTCGTACAGACTACCACTAACGAATTTCGTCCGAATCCGAATTCTGAACCGCATTGACGTTCTGACCCGAATCCCAAAAAACGAAATAACGGAAAATCTGAATCAAAATTAAACGAAACTAAACAAATTTTTTGCCGGTGCAAATGTCTAGTCCTTATCTCATATGCATTTATGCACACACAAACACACACCCGGGCCAATTTAGGCAGGAACCAATTAACCTACCAGCATGTCTTTGGAGTGTGGGAGGAAACCAGAATACTTGGAGGAAACCCACACAAGCACAGGGAGAACATTCAAACTTAGTGCAAGTAATAATATACTTGCCAGTCAGTATATCCAAATAGTTGAAAATAGAGACACACACAACATACTTGGACAAACAGATTCTGTTTTAATTCAATACTGCTTCAAATGTATGTTATTTTCTGGTATAGCTATTAATGCAAAACAAGTTATTTTAAAGCAAATAAATGGCACACACAAGAAATTTGGAAATTTCAATGATCAATGACTGCATCGCTTTTTTTTATATTTATACGTTTTAGTTCTAAGATCCCTGCCTGGTCTTGTTGCAAGCTGTTATACTTGAAAATAAAAAATGCATACTGTCAAAAGCAAACAAAATATGCAATAACATTATTTCTTTCCTATGTCAATTTCATTCAATATGCTTTATGTGATCTGCAGGTACTATATGTGCTGTCTCATTCTTGATTGCGTTTATATTTGTTCTGAATTCTGGAAATTATTGGCTGGCATTGTTTGATGGATATGCTGGATCAATTCCTTTGCTGATAATTGCATTTTGCGAGATGGTTTCTGTTGTTTACATATACGGAATAGACAGGTAAGATAATTGAATATAAACAGGTTTCAAATATCGGTCCTTTAGAAAAGTTTTACTGTTAAGGCACATTGTAATAATGAAGCCCTTTTACTTGTATAAATAGACCTCACTCTATATTTTTTCTCTTCCAATCTATCTGCCAGTACTGTTGAAAACTATAAGGTGTTAGTAAAAAAAATTAAGATAACAAGTTCCCCAGGAGGGTGGACATCAGTTTTATACGTCCCATTGGTAAAGCATTTTAGAGAGTCAAATGATGAAAAAAACCTCTGAATAACAAAACTAATCATAGCAGTCCTAAGTAGGAATGGGTTTAGATATCCAAAGCATGAGGGCTTGTTCACACGACGTCCGGATTCTGAACAGTTCGCTCCTGCACTAAATGCATCCCAATGTATCCCTATGTGTTTTATGGCTCCAGTTCTCACCAGCGCATTCTGTTCCGGGCAGAAAAAATACTGCATGTCACATTTTTTCCGGTCCGGGAACGCACAAACGCGTCAAATGCAACAAAACACGCCGAAAACGCACCACACTGCAGTTAACAGCTGACAGCCCCACTCCACAAAAAAAAAGGAACTGGAACGCGGTAAAAACGCATCAAAAACGCGCTGCACACATAGCACCGCGTCCACAGATCTGGACCAGAAAACGGTGTGAACAAGCCCTAAGTAGAAAATCGACATAGCAACTCAAGAGGCAAGCTAAGGTTTGACATGTTTCTTAAAGTGGATCTTTACTCCCTTTCACTAAAAATCACACCAGCATGCCACTCTTCATGCTGATATGAAGTCGTCTTACATTCATTAGTTAAATAAACATTTTTCTTTTACCTACAATTACTGGTCCTCTTAGGCATTATTGATGTTGCCCATGCCCAAGAGATGCATCCTGGGAAGGTTACATCATAATGCATTGCTGGTAAATCTCATCTGTAAACTGCAAATTCTTGTGGGATTTCAGGGAAAGGAATTTTTTTCACTTAAGATTATGTGCATAGTCACATTCAGGAAGTAATCTGCCCTTAGTAAAAATGACCACTGTGAGAATAATGAGAAGGAAAAGCAATTTAAGGTATGCAGAGAATAAAAAGCCAGCAATTATCTATAAGCATCTGTTTGTGGATTGCCATTACTAAACATTTCTAAAGGTGCCTTTGTTGTCATTTTTAAGATAAGGGTAAAGTTTCTCTTTAAGTTGGTGTGCTTTTAAGATTGCAATATTGTTATATCTTTTGTTTTGCTACAAAGGTGCTTGGGGTTCTGGTGTCGGAGAATTTTTGCTTCTCACTCTCTCATTTGACTCAATCATCTATGCTAATATGCAAAATCCACGGAGTGTACAGACCTTACTAAGGGAACTGGACAGCTGTATGGAATGTTTTGTTGTCTACAGAAAACATTCTCCTTGCTCTTGTGCTAGGAAAGAAGTGCAGCAAGTTCTTTTGCTGCCTCATTGCTGTTCCCCCTTCCATGTCGCAGGTGTTCCCCCTTTGGCATCGCAGGTGTTCCCGTTCTTTTTTTTTCTTTGTCTTTTTTCTTTTTCATAATAAACCATTGTACAACAGTTTATATTGCACCAAGCACCACATACGATAAAGTATTGCACCCATGCACCAATTTCCCATCCCACATTCTCTAATAACATTTTATAATAAGCCCCACATCATGTCTGAAAGGCCAACAAGGAGACAGGTGTGTGGCAGGTGCATATAATTGGAATTTTTTTACAGCAGGGCCCATTCCTGAGCTCATCAAGAGTAACTGTGAAGGGGTTACAGTGTGGAGGCACCAACACTGAAGGCCCATTTTTTTTGCAAACCTGTGTGACAGGTATATATAATTTGAATTTTTAGAGCAGGGTCCAATCCTGCACTCGTCAAGAATAACTGAAGGGTTATGGTGTGAAGGCACTGCCAACACTACAGGTCCAATTTTAAAGCACCTGTTGTTACTTTCATCCAACGTCTGCAAAAGAGGCACCAGAATTTATCCACAAAATCTCTAACCTTGTTCCGAGTGTCCTAAAATGTGTTCTCTTCATACAGGCTGCCACCCCAAGCAGTTGTTTACAGAATTAAAGGAAAACCAATTATTGGCAATTTAAATGTCATTTTTTTCTTCATAAATTTCACTTTTTGCTGCAGCAGGTTCTATATATCGTACAGATGTGCCACTCTACAAGCAGTTTAAGGGGACCCCCCCCCCCACC